AACTTGTGTCAGTGCTACTTCTTCTCCTGACTTCCCATAATCAATCAAATCCTTCACCAAATCTACCTTACGGTTGAAGTGATTTCTAGATGATTCAATCATGACACTGGCAAGTTCACTAGTAAGCAAGCTTGCTTCCCGGAACTTTTCGTGTTGAGTTAAATTACTCTTCTTATCAGATTTTATTAAAGAGTGAGAAACAGATGGTGTTGGTGCTGCACTAAAGAAGATCCATTGTGTCTTTTTGTAATATTCTGATTGCCATCTTTTGTCGCAAAGATCAGAATCAAATAAAGGCAAACCAAGTTTATTTCGAAGGACAAAAATGTGTCTACAAGGCAGTCGCATTGATTTAAAAAAGATACATTCACAATGGTGATCTAAAAGTTTTTTTAATCCATCAGTTGTTTCAACAACATAATTACTATCAATGTACTTAATTTTATTGACTTTTCCCATGATCTGTAGCCGCTTATTGAGCAAAGAGAAGGAATATGGAGTCAGGAGAGAGTTATAGTCAGCTTCAACTGTATCTCTAGCAAAAAGCTGTACTTTTACTTTATGACACATCACTGCTGCTTTGTGATCTCTTTCAATTCTTAAAGTACAAAGAATTACAAAAAATTTTGTAACAAATTCTTCTAGAGAGCTTTTGAGTGAAATTACTTGCTTCAACTTTCCATTGATGGATTCTAATTGATTGTTTGTCATGTTAAGAAAACTTCCACAATCTGCTTTTAACCCAGAGACCCAATCATCTTTAATCTTGTGCCAATTATCATCGTAGTATTCCTTTACTCTCTTTGGAAATGTCTTGATTTGATCATACAATTTGTCATACTCAGTGCTACTGGTGGAATAAACTATCTTTTAAAAAACATCAAGGCACATGGATCTCTGTGCAGCAGTAATGCCTAACTTTTCGCAAGTTACCTCTCACCGAAATGTGCGTAAGGTATGGAATAAACATATCAGCACAGATGCAGATGAAAACATTTCTTTCACTACCTGTCGTTCCTTTAAATCCTTATCTGCCATCACTACCCTTATTTTGTCCCAGTTAGCATTGTTACATTAAAATTTTTGCAACATCCATTTTATTCCATTAGCATCTTCAGAGACAAGTATGAAAACTACAAATACTTCGCTTTGCCCATTAGAGTCTTCACATAGCATAATAAAAACAGGCAAATTTAGATTAAGCAATTTATAGGTGGCATCCATAAAGAGAAGCTCTGGATAAGCTTCAAAGGCTTCAGACATTTGCTTGTCTTGGAACAATAACCCTCTAAATTTTTTTTCATCATCAGAACATACTTCTAAGCAGGCACCTACATAAAACATTTTATAATCAAAAAATGTAACTATACACTTACCATATTTCTCAATTAAATAAAAGCTTAGCAACAGAATTCAAATCATTCCTCGTGTTTCCTTTCTTGGCTTGGG